AAACGGCAGTTAAGAGTGGGAGAGACAAGGTTAGTAACAGGCTTATATGTTAAGATTTTCATTACATATCCTCATACTGATGGTGAAATGTTTCAGACACAGGAGAAACAGTAACTGTGTGCTGGGGGGAGTGCTGAGGGAAATTTGATTCTTTGTAACTGTTAAGGAACTTTTCCATCTAGCCTGCCTGGATGAAATAAATGGCAAGTGTAACTGAATGCTTAATTCCTTTACTTTAAATGCCTAGGTAATTAATGATTTGCTGTTTTATGAAGTAAATCCTTTACTTTTTGAACATTTCTGTGAACATTTGAACATTTAACTCACATGTGAACATTTAACTCATCCTGTGCTTAGGTCAAAGGTTTGGCAGTTTACAGGACAAAGCCTATTTATCTGCACCAAAGTCCTGCTTATTACCCAAGAAAAGAGGCATAAGCAGAAATGTGACCATGGGGTGGTATTAAAAGAGAGGTACAGTTTTTTGTGGACCCTCCCCAGTACATTATGATTAACTCGTCTTGAGGGGGGGGGATCTTCTGCTACTATCCCAGTGATCAAGGCAGGATGATTCAAGGGGGCTAGGGATAACATATATTTTAGGAAGGTGTTTGCTATCAGCAATTCAAAACTTCTGAAGTTAGAAAAATTGTTCTTAAGTCAACATATTTTCCTGCCACTATTCACAGACTTCAAAATACAGACAGCTAACTGGCAAACAGTGATAGCAGTTTCCATTGATTAGGGAAATCTCACATTCTCCATTTGTTTCTTTGACACCCACCTTTGATACCAGGAAGCCCCATCTAGCCAGGTTAATAGGTTACAGCCTGAAAGTGAGGGATCCTCCAAAGCAGTGCTTCATGTGGCAGGTGAAATTGCACCTGGATATGGAAACCCAGCTCTTACATCAGGCACACAGAGAAGCTCTTTGAATGCTAGCATGAATTTCTTTGATAATACATTAATTTCTGAAAAGTGAAGGGGGATAAAGTATGAGGCAGTTTTTGGAACTGCTAGGACTACATAAGGCTGATTAGGCAGCTGGTTCCTTTCCTCGAACGCAATGACCTGGCAACAGTGATTCATGCTATGGTCACCTCGAGATTAGACTACTGCAACGCTCTGTACATGGGGCTGCCCTTGTCCCAAATCCGGAAGCTGCAGCTAGTGCAAAATGTGGCAGCCAGGCTGTTGATGGGCCTCGCTATATGAGACCACATCCAGCCTGCACTGAAGGCATTGCACTGGCTGCCAATAGCCTACCAGATTTGTTTCAAGGTGCTGGTTTTGACCTTTAAAGCCCTATATGGTCAGGGGGTTGTCTATCTGAGGGATCACCTTTCCCCATACGTGCCCCAGAGAGCACTGAGGTCAGGGTCACAAAACTGCCTGACTCTCCATGGCCTGAAAGACACCAGGCTGGCCATTACTAGAACCAGGGCCTTCTTAGTGGTGGCTCCACACTGGTGGAATGAGCTCCCGGAGGGCATCAGGGCCCTGTGGGACCTATTACAGTTCCGCCCGGCCTGTAAAATGGAGCTCTTCCACCAGGCCTACGATTAGGAGCTGCCACTGACGAGTCATCGGAACGTGCCCTATGACACACCGTTGGACATCGCCTTCTACCAACTGATCGTTATCATAGCCACCACCAGCTGTATTGTCTGTATTTGCAATTTATGCTGTTAATGTGAATTTTATTGTGTTTATTGTTTTATTGTATTAAACTCATATATTGTTTTATTATATTTTAACCTGTGTACACCACCTTGAGCCAGCTTGTCCCGGCAAGGCGGGATACAAATTGAAAATAATAAATAAATAAATAATATACTCGTGAGTTTTGAGATTGTATGGGGTATTCATTGAAAGAGAATCTTGCAGAAGGCCTTACACCAAACAATGGAACATTCTTTTTTCAGCATATAACCTTGATGCTCCAAGATATGTCACATTCATCTGCCATCTGTTCAGTTTCTTCAAGATCCTGTTGAGAAGATAATACCAAACACATTCCTAGGAACACTGTTCTTTTCCTATGGTTTCAATTTCCCCTGTCCATATGCAATAGAAATTACAGTAGTGTGCTGAAAACAGGAGGTCCTCCTCTGAGTTCTTGAATAAAGTTATCATCTGTTATGATCTCCCTTCTTCTCCCCCCTCCGTTAGACAAATAGAGCCAGAGATCATGTGTGAGGACACCAGAATTAGAAGAAATTTAAATCCTTGAGCCAAATTTGTTATTTCATACCAACAAGAATCTAAATTGCAACAGAAAACCTTGGTGTTGAGCATGAGACACCATAATAAAAAACTTAAAGACAGCCTTCAAAAACCTCTGTCTCCTTGGTGCAAGCTAATTCCATTTTGGTCATGTCCCTTCATCTTGAAGCAAGAACCAGCTTTCCTCTCTGTTTTTGCATCAAAGCAAGTAACTGAGTCTTTGGCCACCACAGAAGTCAGAGTGCCGGCAAAGAGGACAGGACCACCCCTAATTCAGTCATGCTCACTGGAATTGAATAGGCATCCCAAGGAGTCACCTGGAGAAAGCCCTGCTTCACTCAGTGCCTGGCATTCAGGACACCCAGTAATTAATCATTGTGTCTATAGCGCAGGAGTGCACAACATACAACTCAGGGACTATATGTGGGGACCACACTACACATTTTGTGGTGTGCAGCATTCACTGCCAGCTCTGCAGGTGATTCTGGGACTCCATGTCTATGATTGGCCAGCTCAGTGGTTTTGTGGCAAATGGATGATGACCAAGCAGCACTGCAAGAGATGGGGGTCATCTCAGGCAAGCTGCAAAGAGCTGCAGATGCCTGGGATGGTACTTAAGTTAAATTCTCTGGTTAGAAGCTCGTACCTCCAATAGTGCATGCATGGCTTGTTACACTTAGAGAGTCATGAGAGGCAGTCAACAATGACACGCTCATTCTCTTGCTATGGGGAAGAGGGTGGGAATAGAAAGATGGGTTGCAGTGTTGGCATGGGGTGAGAGGAAGGACAGAGGGGGGGCCCAACAACCAAAGAATGCTTAGTCTCTCTTTTTCCAACCTTATTTCTGGTTGTGATGCACCCAACCCTAATGACTACTTCCTTACATTATGCTACAAAATAGTCATGTTTACATATCACCAACTCCCCAGCATCCCAAACACTGAGGCTCACGAGGTATGATACATATTTTCATCATGTGGCCCACTTGGGTCCAGTCAAAATCAGTTTTAGTCTAACTATTTGAGTTGTGCACCCTGCTTTATCTACTTGTATAACCTATCAACATCAGCATTTCAGGATCCATGCCCATATTTTTGTCAGCCTGTTGTTTCTTGCCATTGGACTAAATGTCCAGCAGTTTCAATTTGTGCAGTTTGAATTGCCTATCAAGCCCCACCTCTTTGCTCAGGCTGACCTTGCCTTGGAAATCACACCTTGAATCCTAAGGATGTAAGAGCAATTGTGCTGGATCAGACCAATGGTCCATCTAGTCCAGCCTATTTTGTAGTTTTCCCCTTTAGAATTTACTTGCTGTCCAGATACTTGTACCTCCTAGTTTGCTCTGGACCCCTGG